CCTCGATTGCTCCTGCTCGACCTTCCCGGGAAGAGGCCTTGAAAAATCATGCAGCTTCGGGGGTCCCTCGGCCCCCCAACAGGACGCGATCCGTGGTGTCTTGCCACGAATCGAGGCATCCTGCGTTAATGTGGAGTTAGAGGAGGGGGTGGCCCTCGGTGGCCGGGGCCAAGGAGGAGGGCCACGGAGGCAACATGCTGGGGAGGGGGAGAGGGAGATATTGGGTGGGTGGGTGGGTGTGCTTGTGGGGCGCCCAGGGCACACCCGTGAAGGGGAAAGAGAGACTTGGGCCCACCGCTGTGTCTGAGCCGCAATGGCGGGAGCCCTAGGCCAACAAGGGTCGGGGAATTCTCGGGGGACGAGGGTCCAGGCAGAAGCTCGAAGTGGTCCGGATTGCCGCCGCTCGACCCAGCCTGAGCCACGGAGGACGTCACGCCATCAGAGACCTTCGGTGGGGCAGGTCGACGTTGCTGGCGCTTAAGCCTCGGCTGTCGCAGAGGCTGCCGCAGCCCTGGAGACGGAAAGAGCAGAAGAGGGAAGAGGGAGGGATGGTGGCTGTGCCTCTCAACAGTTTGAGGGGGGGTTTGTCACCCCTTTCATTTCACTTCTCCTCCTTCCTTCCTTCCTTCCTTCCTTCCTTCCTCCCACCCTCCCTGTCACCTTCCTTCCTTGTTTCCTTTCTTTGTCCCTCCTATTTCCATCCTGTTTAAAATGTTTTTTAATCAGGTGTATTTTTAAATGTTTTAGCTTTTATGAGTAATGGCTTGTAGCCCACCATTCTCATGCTGGCCTATGTAAAACAGGTAGTCCTTGAGTTACAACGGTTCATATTGTGACTTCAAAGTTACAACAGCACTGAAAAAAGTGACTTAGGACCTTTTTTTCATACTTACGACCGTGGCAGCATCCCCACAGTCACGTGATCAAAAAATCAGGCACTTGGCAACTGAATCATGTATATGACAGTTACAGTGTCCCGGGGTCATACGATCCCCTTTTGCGACTTTCTGACAAGCAAGATGTCGGGGGCTCTATTCTATCTTTAACTCATAGTCTAGTTCCGTGGTGGTGAACCTATGGCACGCATGCCACAGGCGGCACGCAGAGCCGTCTCTGTTGGCACGCGCGCCATTGCCAATGATAGAGGGACACCGGGCCTGGCTACTCCCCTCCCCCTCTCTATGCATGCGGAGTCTGGGAATAGTCATGAGATCTGGGTGGGGTGAGGCTATAAAAGGAGCAACTTTGGACGGAAGCAACATTTGGTGCAGATAGTGAGTGAACGAGCAAGAGCCGACAGTGGTAAGTTTCAGCGGCCGGTCACGCAGGGGAGGAGGAGGTCGAGGGGTAGCCTGGTGTCTGAAGCTGCCTCGGTTGGCCACTGGCCTCAGCAGGCCCCAACGAGGCAGCATTCACTCACCGGCTGCCCAGCCTCGTGGGGTGGTGGCAATGGCGGCAGCAATGGCGGTGATGATGAAGAAAGGCACGTAGCTGAGAGGGGTGGGCGGGGTGCCTGGTTTTTAAGCTGCCTCGGCCTCGTGGGACGATGGCAGCAGCAATGGCGGTGATGACAAAGAAAGGTATGGGGAGGGCTATAAATGGGGTGGAGAAGCAATGCAGCGGCGCTAGCATGGTGGTAGACCAGTTGCTTCCTTCCCCCTGCCAGACACCTGCCGAAGCCATGCAGGGTAAGGTTGCCACGCCTGCCCCCGCCCAGATGCCCTCGCCTCCCCCAAGCGTTTTTTTTACTAACCTGCCTTTCAGCTGCATTCTGTTTCTCCATTCACTTCTCAGCCTTCGCCACGTGTTTGTGGGACTATCGGTTAAAAAGAAAAAAGTTCTATCAGACTTTCTAACTTCTTTTGATCTCGTGATAGTCCCACAAACACTGGATCTAAATGGTCATATCATTACATCTTATTTAAATATCTAATTAGTTCAATATTTCGCATATAAACTGGGTCTAAGGGGTCATGTCATTTGATCTTATTTCAATAATATTAATCAGGTTATTTACTATCTAATTGCCCAAGCCTCCAAATTTTGAGAACTTGACCTCAGGGGTGCTGGAACGGTCGTAAGTGTGAAAAGCCTGCTGCTTTGGTGGCTCTGTAGGCAATTTGCAAGGCGGTAAACAGCCGCGCCACGCCGAAACCTGCCATTTGCCACTTCCTGCCCAATGCCGCTGCCATGAGGCCACGGAACAAGCCGGGCGGCAGTAAGAAACCGGTATACCGGTTCCTTACCCCCGCCCGGCTTGTTCCGCGGCCTCATGGCAGCGGCATTGGGTGCGACCAGCGAGGCGGCAAATGGCCGCAGCCGGCAGCAAACAGCCACGTCACACCAAAACTGGCCATTTGCCATGTTGTCATACCGAAACTGGCTATTTGCCACGTCACACCGAAACTGGCCGTTTTGCTATCTCCTGCACAATGCCTCTGCCATGAGGCTGCGGAACAAGACGGGCGGAGGTAAGGAACCAGTATACCAGATCCCCCCTCCCCTACTCCGCCTGCTGCTGGAGGGCTGGCCTCCTATTCGCAGCGGGCTGTGAAGCCTCAAAGTGTGCCGGTTGGAGGTGTCCGGCAGGGTGTGGCTGTTGATGGACACAGTTGGCCCCCATGTGCTCGCTGTGTGCGGAGGCGGATGGTGTCAGGCAGCAGCCACCCCGGCCCCTGCCTCGCCCTGCAGCAATGGCACCCCAGCTTTGCCTCGCCTCACCATGCAAGATGAGCCTCCTGCCCACCGTCCCACCTGCCAGAGACCCCCTGGTTCTCCCCCAACCCTGCCTGGCCCCCACGAGCAACATTGAGGTGGCCACACCATGCCCACCCAGTCTGCCGTGACCACTGCAGCCACATCCACCGAATGGGCCACGCCCACCTAATGGGTCACGCCCACCCGGCACCCGACAATACATAAATAAGTTTTGGGTTGTAGTTTGGCCACTCGGTCTCTAAAAGGTTTGCCATCACTGCCTTAGAGTTTTGTTGTGACAAAATAAATACCATCCCAAAATAAACAGCAGGCTCAGGTCCGGCGCCTGGTGCAGGAGAACCAGTAGCTGCGGGACGAGCTGGCCGCCACCCAGCAGAAGCTTCAGAGGAGCGAGCAGTCGATGGCCCAGCTGGAAGAGGAGAAGAAACATCTGGAGTTCATGAACCAGACTAAAAAGTTTGACGAGGACGTCTCCCCGTCGGTAGGTGGTGTTTTGTTTTGTTGTTGTTCTCCTTATTTAGAGAAGGTGGTCTCTCCTCCTGCTCGGTTAGGGGAGCCTTGAACCCAGGTCCAGGGACAAAAACGTTGGGTTGAGAGTCTACCATATCACCCCTAGTCCTTCTAGTCTAATGAAAAGAAGGACCAGGGGGGCCTTTGAATATTTGAGGGGCTGCTCCAAAGAAGAAGGGGGGATCCACCTCTTCTCCAAAGCACTAGAAGGCAGGACGAGAAGCAACGGATGGAAACTAACGGAGGAGAGAAGCAACCTGGAAGGAAGGAGGAATTTCCTGAGGGTGAGGACGATTAACCAGAGGAACAGCTTCCCACCAGAAGTTGTGGGTGCTCTAATATTGGAGGTTTTCAAGAAGGGACTAGTCACCCATTTGTCCATAATGGTATATGTCTCCTGATTGAGTAGGGGCTGGACTAGAAGACCTCCAAGATCCCTTCCAACTCTATTATTCTGCTATTCTTTCTTCTTTCCTCCTTCCTTCCCTCCCTCCCTCCCCTCTTTTTCCTTCCTTCCTTTCTTTCTTCTTCCCTCCCTCACCCCTCACTGGAGGTTTTCAAGAACAGACTGGACAACCATTTGTCTGAAATAGGATAGCCTCTAAGGTCCCTCTAAAACGGGAATAAGGAGGACCGTCTTTTTTCCAGCCCCTGTGAAAGCAAATGCCAGGTTTTGATTGCTTCCTTTTTTTGCCCAGGATGAGAAAAATGGGGAGGCAGCAAAAGACACACTGGACGATCTATTTCCTAACGACGATGACCAGGGTCCAGGTAAGCTATGGAAGGTCCCAAATCCATTCTTAAGCAGTACATTGTGTCATTGTTAAGTGACACAAGAAAGAGGATTAGGGGAGGCTAAAGCATGTAAACAACAGTTGTAGCTGAGTATATCTAATGAAAAGAGGGACGAGGGGTAACAGGATAGCCATCTTCCAATATTTGAGGGGCTGCCACAATGAAGAGGGGGGTCAAGCTATTCTCCAAAGCGCCTGAAGGCAGGACAAGAAGCAATGGATGGAAACTCATCAAGGAGAGAAGCAACCTAGAACTAAGGAGAAACTTCCTGACAGTGAGGTCAATTAACCAATGGAACAGCTTGCCACCAGAAGTTGTGGGTGCTCCATCACTGGAGGTTTTTAAGAAGAGACCGGACAGCCATTTGTCTGGAATAGGATAGGGTCTCCTGCTTGAGCAGGGGGTTGGGCTAGAAGACCTCCAAGGTCCCTTCCATCCCTGTTACTCTGTTATTATTGTATTTGAGCAGGAGGCTGGACTAGAAGACCTCCAAGGTCCCTTCCCACTGTTATCATTCTATTATTTTGTGCTGTTACAAGCCGAGGACTGCCTTTATTTCTACGGGGAATACTCTCACGGGCTCTTTCCAGCTGATTGGCCAGGTCTGTCTCTGCAGGGCAAATTTACTACAGCAGAGTGTCGGTGGCCCAGCAGTGGGGCTACGAGATCCCGGCCCGTCTATGGACGTTGCACAATCTGGTGGTCCAGTACACTTCCCAGGGGCGCTACGAGGTGGCCGTCCTGCTCTGCACGCAGGCTCTGGAGGACCTGGAGAAAACGTCGGGTCACGATCACCCCGATGTGGTGACAATGCTGAATATTCTGGCGCTGGTGTACAGGTGGGGAACTCAGTGGTGGTGCTTGGGTGGTTGGGGTGGGTGGGAGAGACACAAAATGGCCCTGCTTTTACTTTAACCCGGGGGTCCCCAAACTTGGCCCCTTTCAGACTTGTGGACTTCAACGCCCAGAATTCCCCAGCCAGCAAACTTGGACTTGTGGGCTTCGACTCCCAGAACTTCTTCAGTACTTGAATCTAAGAAACTAAATATGTGGTTTTTTTTTCCTTCTCACCAGAGACCAAAATAAATATAAGGAAGCTGCCCACCTTCTCAACGATGCTTTGGCTATCCGGGAAAAGACCCTGGGAAAAGACCACCCAGCTGTAAGTGCAGGCTGGGACCTCCCCTCTCGGCTCTGATGGCAGGATTTTAAAGACTGTATAATCTTCCGTTTCTTTTATATGTTACTTTTCCCTTTCCTTTCCTCTCTTTTTCTTTCCTTTATCTTCCCTTCCCTTTCTCCCTTTCCTTCCCCTTCCTCCCTCCCTCCCTCCCTTTCCTTCCTTGCCTCATTCCTATTTCCTTCCTTTATTCCTTCCCATTTCCTTCCTCCCTTTCTCTTTCCATTCCTTTCATCTTCCCTTCCCTGTCTCCCTTTCCTTCCCCTCCCTCCTTCCTTCCCACCCACCCACCCACCCTTCCTTTCTACCTACCTACCTACCTACCCACATTCCCATTTCTTTCCTTTCTTTATTCCTTCCCATTTCCTTCCTTCCTCCCTTCCTCCCTCCCTCTTTCTTCCTTCCTTCCTTCCCTCCCTCTTTCTTTCGTTTGTTCATTCGTTCATTCATTTCAAGCAATAAACAGCGTGGGTAACAAAGCTCAGATAACGACACGGATATCGTACAGACAGTATATTCCGGCATGCATTTAAAAATTTAAAAGTCGTATCTGATATTTCGTACCCATTTCCTAGCCGAACCACGTCCCTTTTGGATTGTTTTTAGAAGAGGTGGTCAGTCAGTAGACGGAGACAAGATACAGCCATGAACAAGACATTAAGTGAAGGGGACAGATCGGTTACATAGGTTACACGTCAAAGTAACACATCCCACATTTAGGACATGGCAAAATGTCCTATTTTGAAAAACGCGGTGTTGAAGGAACTGGGCCACCTTCATTTTCTGATTTGAAAGCTTCAGCTAAAGTTGGGCTTGGAAGTATCCCACAGTGGGAAAGCTGGCGTTCACATCTGCTAAGGTTTCCCACAGTCCTTTTCTTGCAAAGCGGGTCCAGGGAAGGTAACTAACATCCCTTTGGGCAGGGGGTCTTCCAACTTGGCCCTTTTATGACTGGTGGACTTCAACTCCCAAAATTCCTCAGCCAGGTCCAGAAGTCATAAAAGGGCCAGGTTTGAAGATCCCCCTGCCTTTGGGATTTTACGCAGGCTGTTTCTTTTCCCACAGGTGGCTGCTACACTCAACAACCTGGCCGTCCTGTATGGGAAACAAGAGAAATATAAAGAGGCCGAACCTTTATGCAAGAGAGCCCTGGAGATTTGTGAGAAGGTATTTGGGTATTTCTCCAATTTTACAGTCAACTTGCGACAGTTCATTTAGTGACAGTTCAAAATTGCAGTGTCACTGAAAAAAGCCTTTTAGCCTTTAAAATCAGTAATCACTTGTAGCCCACCCTTATCAGGCTGGTTTAGGACGTTAAAAAAAAGGTCGTCCTTGGCTTACGACAGTCCTTTTAGGGATCGTTTGACATTACAAAACGGAACTTAGGGCCGTTTTTCACACTTGCGACCGTTGCAGCCTCCCCGCGCAGTCCAAATTCAGACACTCGGCAGCGGATTCCTATTTATGATTGTCGCGGTGTCCCCTCTTGTGACCTTCCGACCAGCCAAGTCAACGGGGGAAGCCGGGTTCACTTAATGACGGTGTGACTAACTTAACAGCTGCAGCATTCCCCTTAACAACTGAGGCGCAAAAGGTCGTAAAATGGAGCAAAACTCTCTCACAACTGTCTCCCTGAGCAACATAAATGTTGAGCTCAATCGTTGTAAATCGAGGACTGCCTGCACGCCACCCATTTTACTGTCCAAGTGGTTTGCTTTCTGAAGCTGCAGAGATCCTGGGCCGGAACAAGTTTTGGGTGGCCCAAGGGACAGGCCTTGGTGTGTGTGTGTGTGTGCTTGCTGAAAATGTCTGAATGTGGCTGCCTCTTCCTCCATCCAGGTGCTTGGAAAAGACCACCCGGACGTAGCCAAGCTGTTGAACAACCTGGCCTTCCTTTGCCAAAACCAGGGGAAATATGAAGAGGTCCAGTACTATTACCAGCGGGCCCTAGAGATCTACGAATTGCACCTGGGCCCCAACGATCGAAATGTAGCCAAGACCAAGAACAATCTGGTGAGTTGGGCCTTTGATGATGATGATAATAATATCATTGGAAGGGACCTTGGAGGTCATCTAGCTGAACCCCCTGCCCAAGCAGGAAACCCTATACCATGTCGGACAAAAGACTGTCCAGTCTCTTCTTAAAAACTTCCAGTGTTGGAGCATTCACCGCTTCTGAAGTGGAGTGGAATAGACAGAGTTGGAAGGGACCTTGGAGGTCATCTAGTCCAACCCCCTGCTCAGGCAGGAAACCCTATACCATTCCAGACAAAGAGCTGTCCAGTCTCTTCTTAAAAACCTCCAGTGTCAGAGCATTAACCGCTTCTGGAGGCAGGTCGTTCCACTGGTTAATTGTTCTCACCGTCCAGGTTATCATCTTTTTTTTTTCCTCCTCCCTCCCCATCGCTCTCTCCTCTCGTGACGTGACCTTTGGAAAGCCAACCTGGCAAAGTTGGTTTGGGGGAGAAGGGGCAGCCCCCCCCCAAAAAGCTAGAATCACCCGAAACCTGGCTTGTTTCTTCCCTCTGACCTCTGGATTTGTGTCCTCGCAGGCCTCCTCTTACCTCAAGCAAGGGAAATACAAGGAAGCCGAGGCTCTCAACAAGGAGATCCTGACCCAGGCACATGAAAGGGAGTTTGGATCGGTCAACGGTAAGCCCGGGAGCAAATCTTCCCATCACTTGGGGGCGGGGGGGGGGCACGACCTTCCGGAAAGATGGCCGAGCCTGGCTTAGGACTTCTTGGAAAACTGGAAAAATAGCTAGGGTGGCGTGCAAGGGATTTAAAAAGCTAAAAAATATATAAAAACCATCAAACAATATAAAACACCTTTTCTTACAACATTCGGTGTCTCTGAAAACATTTTTTTTTACAAATTTTATTGATTTTCTAATATTACATTCACATATTTGAAAAGCAACGTGGCGGTTGGATAGTAATAATTCAATTACATACAAATATCATTAGTACAGATTTCAAATTGCTACCATGAACATTTCCTCTCTTTTTCCCTTCATATATACTATCAATTTGTAGATTTAAAATAAGTTTTATTCTATCAATCACATAAAAAATAACTTTCGATAGTTTAATATTATTCCCAAGATATTTAATATACCTCCAGCCCTGTGGGTGCTCCATTCTCTCTGCTGCATGGTCTCTAAAATCATTTCTGTCTTGGCCCTTTTTTGCCATCACTGAAGAGGATCCAAATATTCCAGTCTGAGTAATAAGCTGTTTACACCTATAAATCCATAAGGCTGTGTCAGCTGGGAATGATGGTTTTGGTTTGGGGGGGAAGCAAAAGGGAGCAATGTTGGAGAGAAAATTGGCCTTGCTGTGGATGATGGGGCGGCAATCCCTACTTGTCTGAAGGGGGAGCCAACCATGGGGGAGGTTTACCCAGTTGGGGATTATGGGGTTATAATTCCATGACAGGAAAGGAGGAAAGATGACGAGTTTAGTATTTTTAATGAAAATGTTATTGGCTGCCCAACTCCAGGGGAGAGGGGGCTGCAGCTGTGGATGATGGGGTTGCAAGCCCCCTCTCCCAATAGGGACCACCCTGGGGAGATATTGGCCTTTCTGGGGATGATGGGCCACCACGGCATCCTCCCAACAGGAAATACCCTGGGGGGAAAGCAGCCCTGCTGTGGATGATGGGGCCACTACCCCATCCTCCCAACAGGAAACACCCTGGGGGGGAGGGGGAAACGAGCCCTGCTTTGGATGATGGGTCCACAAGCCCACTCTCCCAATAGGAAACACCCTGGGGGAGGGGGAAAAGAGCCCTGCTGTGGATGATGGGGCCACCACCCCACTCCCCCAAAAGTAAACACCCTGGGGGTGGAAACTGTCCCTGCCGTGGAGCATGGATGACAATTCCACCCTTCAGAAGGCCCCAACTTTGGGGAGGGGGTGTGTCACTCCCCCAGCCGTGGACGATGGGGCCGCAACCCCACCTCCCCTCCCCATGAAGGGATTACAAAGCCGCCCGGCCTAGGGATGATGGGAAACGCGGCCCATCCCCCCACCCCACTCACTTAGGAACCACGAAGGCCCGGGGAGGGGGTGGCTGATGGGGCGTGTAGTCCGTCCCCTCAGGAGACCCCAACCCCGGGCGGGGACGATGGGGCTTCTAGTCCGGCTGTCCACGAGCCGGACGAGGCAGGAGGGCGTCCTTCCCGGCCTGGCTGAGGCGGAGATCGCCGCTTCCCTCCTTTCTTCCCTCACGGAGCCTCCCCGGCGGCAGGCGACACTCACTACTCGGGGTTCATGGCGGCGGCGGCGGCGGCTCCTCCGCGGCGGGCGGGCGGCTCTGCTCGCGGCTTCTTCTCCCTGCCTTCCTTCCTTCCTTCCTGCTTTCTTTCCTTCCTTCCTTCCTTCCTCCGGCCTCCTTCGGGGCTTCCTGCCTGGCGCCTCCGGTGGCTTCTCGCACAAGATGGCCGCCTCTCCCCCGCCCTCACCCCGCAGGGACGATTTTATTACTGCGCAAGCGCAGCCCGCGCGGGGCACGCCGGGAGGCGTAGTCTTCGCGCTGACTTTTTTTTCCTCCTTTTAAAGGAGGAGGGACCTCATATTTAGCTCTCTCGCTTTTTTTTTTTCCGGCCGCGCGGCCTGACGGGAAATGGAGATGCCGGCTTCCTTGCGTTGACGTCGCCAATCCTTGCCTCGCCCCGCCCTCTGGAGTTGTCTTTCTCGTCATGGCCGCTGCCCAGAGGCACTCTGGGAAATTGAGTCTTCGCCGCTTGGGCCTCAGGGCCGTTATTATAGGGTGCCATTATACAGCAGTATAATTATGTACTTAATTAGATATTAAAGAACCTGATTGGATATTATTGAAATAGGATCAAATGATATGGCCACTTAGACCCAGTTTATATGCAAAATATTGAAATAAATAAGATGTAATGATGACCATTTAGACCGTTTATATGCAAAATATTGAAATTAGATATTTAAATTAGATCTAATGATATGACCATTTAGACTCGGTTTATATGCGAAATATTTAAATAATTAGATATTTAAATAAGATGTAATGACCATTTAGACCGTTTATATGCAAAATATTGAAATTAGATATTTAAATTAGATCTAATATGACCACTTAGACCCAGTTTATATGCAAAATATTGAAAGATATTATTTAAATTTGATCTAATGACATCACCCTTTAGACGCAGTTTATATGTGAAACATTTAAATAGATGTTATTTAATATTTCGCATCTACCAACTGGGTCTAGTCAAACCGGTTTATAAATTCACATATACAAACTTACACGTACTATTTCTTTGTGGAATTTATTATACAGTATTGTAAAATACGTTCTCTATCTATATACCGGGTAATCCTTGACTTACATTCGTTTAACGACTGTTCAAAGTTACGACGGCACTGGAAAATGTGACCTATGACCGTTTTTCACAGTTACGACGGTTCCAGCACCTCTGTGGCCAAGTGATCAAAGTTTGGAGGTTACCGACCCATATTTATGACGGTTGCAGCGTCCGGGATCAAACCAGCCACCTTTTATTCTCTCCACAATACGTGGGTGTGTTCCTAGGGCGTGTACACGTCTAAAAACACAACCACACATTTAAGTAGGGATTGGCTTGCTGTGTGGAACGCGAGAGCTGAGGAGATCATCTAGTCAGCTCCCTAAAAACAGCCTTGGAGATTCATATGACTTTTGATTTTCTAGTTGCAGGACTCCAGTCGGACACGACTGAACAGAAGGCAAAATAAATAAAGGAAAAAGAAGGGTGAAGAAGGAGAAGGAAGAGAGGAAGAAGGGAAGAAGANAGCTCAGGCAGTTGGAAAAAAAAAATAAAGCAACCAAATGTGGAAGGGAGAAAGGAGAGGAGCAGGGAAGAACGAGAGAGGAATATTGGCACGGACACAGGGTATTCCGTCAGTAAGCGAGCCCTGGAATTAAGAGGCCGCAGAAGCTACAGTATATATCGTAATCCAGGTGGTCCCCGCTCAAAATAAATAAAAAAATCCAGTGCAGATGGAGGAGAAGAGGGAAGGGATTTAGAGAGAGAGAGAGAGAGGATGGGCTGGGTGGGGTCTCCCTGAGGCCGGGCACAACCGATCCTAAAACAGAAAGGATCCACTAATTGCGGAAGGCGAGAAGCGAGCCCATTAAAAGGATCCTTAAGCGAGATTATTCTGCCTTTGCAGAAGGACACATTAAGGTGGGTGGGTTGCACCCGGTTTTTGCAACACACGAGCGCAAAAGCCGTCGCTGGAACCCCAGGAGACTATATTTTCCCTCGATTGCTCCTGCTCGACCTTCCCGGGAAGAGGCCTTGAAAAATCATGCAGCTTCGGGGGTCCCTCGGGCCCCCCAACAGGACGCGATCCGTGGTGTCTTGCCACGAATCGAGGCATCCTGCGTTAATGTGGAGTTAGAGGAGGGGGTGGCCCTCGGTGGCCAGGGCCGAGGAGGAGGGCCACGGAGGCAACATGCTGGGGAAGGGGAGAGGGAGATGTTGGGTGGGTGGGTGGGTGTGCTTGTGGGGCGCCCAGGGCACACCCGTGAAGGGGAAAGAGAGACTTGGGCCCACCGCTGTGTCTGAGCCGCAATGGCGGGAGCCCTAGGCCAACAAGGGTCGGGGAATTCTCGGGGGACGAGGGTCCAGGCGGAAGCTTGAAGCGGTCCGGATTGCCGCCGCTCGACCCAGCCTGAGCCACGGAGGACGTCACGCCATCAGAGACCTTCGGTGGGGCAGGTCGACGTTGCTGGCGCTTAAGCCTCGGCTGTCGCAGAGGCTGCCAGAGCCCTGGAGAGGGAAAGAGCAGAAGAGGGAAGAGGGAGGGATGGTGGCTGTGCCTCTCAACAGTTTTTTTTTTTGGGGGGGGGGTTGTCACCCCTTTCATTTCACTTCTCCTTCCTTCCTTCATCCCTTCTTTCCTTCCTCTTCCCTTCCACTTCCCTCCCTTTCTCTTCTCATCCTTTCTTCCCACCCATTTCCTTTCTTCCCTCCCTCCCTTTCTTTTGTTTCTCTTTCTTTTTTTCTTTCCTTCCTTCCTTCCCACCCATTTTCCTTCCTTACTTTCCACCCATCTTCCTTCCTCCCTCCCTCCCTCCCTTCTCACCCATTTTCCTTCCTTCCCATCCATCTTCCTTTTCACCCATCTTCCTTCTTTCCTTCTCACCCATTTTCCTTCCTTCCTTCCCATCCATCTTCCTTTTCACCCATCTTCCTTCCTTCCTTCCTTCCTTCCTTCCTTCCTTCCTTCCTTCCTTCCTTCCTTCCTTCCTTCCTTCCTTCCTCCCTTCTCTCCCATTTTCCTTCCTTCCTTCCCATCCATCTTCCTTTTCACCCTCCTTCCTTCCTTCCTTCCTTTCCTTCTCATCCATTTTCCTTCCTTCCTTTCCACCCATCTTCCTTCCTTCCTCCCTCCCTCCCTCCGTCATGAAAACATCTGAGCTCCTCTGCCCAACTGGGCGCTGGCGAAGACGGACAGGCCACAACCTGCCAACTGGAGCCCGGACATTGTTGTAAACCGAGTCTGGCTGCCTCCCTCCTTCCCTCCAGGCCAGCCTCCCCAGAGGGGCCCAGTCCAAAGGAGAAAGTTGGGCAGCTTCCCCCAGGTGTGTTACCTGGCTGGGCTCTTCTTCTAGGCTCTTGTTCAGGAAGTTGAGCGAACTGGCCCTTTTCATCCTGCAGCGAGAGAAACCAGAAGGGGATCCACTTTGGGCGATCAGCATTTAAGGACTGAAATCTCTTGGCCACTTCATTTCGGCCAGCAACACTTGCACCATCTTTTACTAAACCCACATATATACAAATCGCTTACTAAACCACGTCCTCGACTTACCCCAGTTCGTTTAGTGACCGTTCAAAGCTACAACGGCACCGGAAAAAGGGACCTAGGACCGTTTCTTTCCCACTTAATGACACCTACAGCGTCCCTTTGGTCACGTGATTAAAACTCGGACAGCTTGGCAACGGGCTCGTATTTACGACGGTTGCAGCGTCCCGGGGTCACGTGATCCCCTTTTTGCGACCTTCCGGCAAGCGACGTCAACGAGGGAAGCCGGTTGCACTTAACAACAAGCAAGCGAGGTTGTAAAATGGAGCAAGACTCCCTTAACAGCTGCCATAGAAATTTGGACCTCCGTTTTTGGTCGTAGACAAATTAAGACGATCGGGACGACATGAGAATCAGGTAGCAAAATAACCTCTCGTTCCAAACTTTAAAAAAAATAAAAAATAAAGGAGATGCAGTATGGGGGCTTCCCGTTTTCTCCGGATTCCCCCCAAACGGAAACTCACCCTGGATTCCTCGGTTCCTGCGGGCCGCTCCCTTGAAGCTTCTTGACCAGCATCTCGCTGCTCCGTCGCAGCGCGTCCCGCAGTTTCCCGAAAGAGCCGCTACGCCGCAGAGCTCCGGAGCCCACCTGGGAGAGCGAAAGACCCACAGCTTGACTCCGTCTTTCAGGCGGCAAGGAAGCCGGGATGCTGCAAATGGCGACACCGGGCTTCGATGGTGTCGGGACAACGGCTGCCAAAATTCCCAGCCAGGCAGCAAAGGATTTAGGGAGGTGTAGTCCCTGCCTGGCAGCTGGGGGTATGTTTGGGGAACAGATCAAGGTGGGTTTTTCGTGTATTCTTCATGCTAAGCCAATTTTTTTCAACCTCGGCTGCTTTAAGATGGGTGGACTTCAGCTCCCAGAATCCCCCAGCCAGTATGCTTTAAGATGGGTGGACTTCAACTCCCAGAATCCCCCAGCCAGCATGCTTTAAGAGGGGTGGACTTCAACTCCCAGAATCCCCCAGCCAGCCTGCTTTAAGATGGGTGGACTTCCACTCCCAGAATCCCCCAGCCAGTATGCTTTAAGAGGGGTGGACTTCAACTCCCAGAATCCTCCAGCCAGCAAGTTTTAAAATACGTGGACTCAAAAATTTCCCCAATGAACATGCTTTAAGATGGCTGGACTTCAACTCCCAGAATTCCCTACCCAGCAGACTTTAAAATATGTGGACTTTTGTCTCCCAGAATTCCCTAGCCAACTTGCTTTAAGAGAGGTGCGGACTTCAACTCCCAGAATTCCCCAGCCAGCCACTTCTTAAAGTTGCTGAAGTTGAGAAAGCTGTAATGTGGTTCGAATCACTTGGGGCTTAACCCCAGTCTAGGGTTTTAGTGGCTTCTGGAACTCCAGGCCACAGTATTTTAAGCAAACCTGGTTTTTTTCACATTGTGTGAACCCGGCCACCATCCAGACAAAACCCTCAATTCTACGTTTGTTGGTTTTTCTCCTCCTCATTTTAGAGGCATATTCTGTAGCTTAGGAAGCGTCCAGTTTTTCTTCTTCCTCACCCCGGACCACTCGGCTACTCCTTCTTCTGATTCGGTTTCGTTCTCGCACTTCCTGGCGCCGGGAGTGCCGTCCCGGCTCGGCCGCTGTTCGGCCCGATTCCCATCCTTGAGGAGCTCCACGATTTTGCTCTGGTTGAAGGCGTCGATGCCCTGGGAAACGCAGGAAAAGGGTAGAAACAGGAATATTAATCCGTGTCCAATGAAGATGGGCATATGAGTATGCAGTGACAGAGATTCCTCGGCTTATGACCCAGGGAAAGAAAGAAAAAAACACGCTTGCCTGCTTGCGTGACTTGTGGGCACATTCTTCCAGCGTCTCGGCGGCTTCCACCTTGCCCTGGCGCCGATACAGAGCTCCCAAACTCTTCAGAGTGGCGTTGACGGTGAGGCTGGGGGGGAGGGGAAGAGACCATCAAGGCTGGGGATCACGTCGTTAAGCGAATCCCAGCCTGCAACTGTTTTTTTTCAATGCGAGCCGGTTGCCCAGGGCCCAGATTGTATGCCCACTGCAACGGCCGGCACTAATAATAATAAAGTTGGAAGGGACCTTGAAGGTCATCTAGTCCAACCCCCTGCCCAAGGCAGAAGACCCCATAACTTTGGCCGCTTTAAAGATTTGTGGATTCCCAGAATTCCCCAGCCAGCATTAAGAGACAGCTCTGCTGTCGGTCTAGATCAGGGGTCCCCAAACTCGGCCACTTTAAGACTTGAGGACTTCAACTCCCAGAATTCTCCAGCCAGCATGTCTTAAAAGTGGCCAAGTTTGCTGGCTGGAGAATTCTGGGAGTTGAAGTCCACAAGTTTTAAAAGTGGCCAAGTTTGCTGGCTGGGGAATTCTGGGAGATGAAGTTCAGCAGTCTTAAAGTGGCCAGGTTTGGAGAACCCTGCCCTGTATACTCTTCTGGACGAATGGCGGTCCAACCTCTTCTTGAACAGCAAATTCTCTCCGATCCGATTAAATGGTTAGCTTCTCTCACCGATGGCCTCTTACCTGTCCATCTTACAGGCTTTGTACCAGCTGCCATATTCTCTGTAGGGCGCGCTGTTTTCTCGGTACTTATCCTAAAGGGGAAAACAAGATTAAAAAAAAAATAATTAAAGGGAAGGAATCGGGTTGGTTTGGATACGGTCCCCGTATCCCGGGCGAAAACAAGCTAGCCTTTGAATCTCGGCCAAGCCGCCGAAATACCTTACATTCTTCTCGTTCTTCGGCATGCATCCAAATTGGTTTATTGTCACCTGCGGAGAAATGAAGAAATTGTTTAGAAAATTCGAGGCCCCAACAGTGTGATGGTTCAGCTGCGCAACAGGCCTGCCTCGTGGATATTGTTTGACTTTTGAATAGAATAGAATAGAATAATAATAGGAATAGAATAGAATAGAATAGAATAGAATAGAATAGAATAGAATAGAATA